GACCACCTCCTAACAGTTTAAGCTTTTGGGATGAATTGGTAAACTAACAATTTCAATGATATATTTACTTCTTTCTCCCAGTTACTAATGCTACCAGAACCTCCATTCAAGCCTATATATTACACGCTGGTTATTATTGACCTCTGTAAGGTAACATGAAGACTATTTAAGCATGTTTTATCCAGTTTACATACATCTCCCATATATCAATTTACATTTTGCAAAAATGAGTTTAGAATCTGACTATATAGTTGAATTTTCAGGCTCTTCCTGGGGCCTTTCCTGCAGTAGTAGCTGGTGCAGTTCGAGCTCTTTTTGAGAAAATAGCTGATTTAGATATGGAATGTCGGACACGACTCATTCTTTGGTTTTCTCACCATTTGTAAGTACCACGTTTAGATAGTTACATCTTGTTGTCATTTCTTGTAACATATATTGGTAATTTCTGTCATGAAATCATCATGCATGCTGTAAAATTCTAAATGTTGTGTAGTGATGAAAAATTGTCACCTCCTTGCTGAGATGCCATTTGGTGTCTTGCTGCTATGCCTAGTTTTTGTTGTTTGGTGACCTTACTTTTTAAGTGGAGTGGTTGCAAGAAATCGCCTTCAATTAAATAGAATGACTAAAAAAAATTTGGAAGGAAAAATATTGAAGCTTTCAGGGCCCGTGTCCATCTTTCCTGAAAATGATCAGGGAAGGTATATTACATCCGGAAAAACTATTTTTAATGTATTCTTTTCAGTCAATAATGCGGCTTCATCATTCTGATTTTGGAATTAACCATTAATAGAATTTCCTTGAGGGAAAAGGGGGTGTAAGCCTTCTTGTGTGAGTTTTGTTCTAAGGTATGAATCTATGAGATGCGTTTTTGGAGAAGTGAAAGGACAGTTTTCTTTATGATAGAAAATATTTTAGATTTTGATTGATCTGTGCAAGTTATAAGATTATATATGTATACTAGTAACTTGTTCTTTTTCCCAAGGATTTGGTTATAAACTATAGTTAGAATTCTGCCTCTGTGGGTAGGTACAAATCCACATCTGCTTGTGTGGTTTGCATCATTTCAAGTGCCTGCATTTTGAGTGTGTGGGTGAGAATACTGTCTCTGGTGTAGTGGCGTTTGAGAACAGAACGATTTATACTTCTCCTTTCTATACGATATATTTGATACTTTCTTCAGTTACTTTTTGGGTAGGTTTTTGCTTGGATTTCTGGATAATATGAGCTGTTTAAGTCCATTCCATATTTGCATGATCTTTCTGGTATAAGTTAGGATATGTTGGCTATGCTGCATCTAGTAATAGCTTTCTGACCATGCAGATCAAACTTTCAGTTCATCTGGCACTGGGAAGAATGGGCTTATGTTTTAGACCTCCCAAAGTGGGCCCCTCAACGTGTGTTTGTTCGGGAAGTTTTGGAGAGAGAAGTCCGTTTATCATACTGGGAGAAAGTGAAGCAGGTACTAGTAGTCATGCTTAACTCAGTCAAGTTTCTATTAAAAAAAAAAGTTGGTTAATTTTCTGAAGCAAAGCCATGATTTGGCCTCAAGATGATGTTCTGGACTGGAGAAACGATGTTTATGGTAGACAGGTTTACCAGTATTTCTAAATGAAATCGTCACCTTTCTCTGCTCAGACCATCTTGTCCTGGTGTGGTGTGTGGAAAAGATTGGAATTTTGGGTAGGAATAGTGATGTTTGGGTATAAAATGATGCTATGAAACTAACTTGTTGTCTAACTTAGGTGCTTAGAACTTTATCTTGTTCTTTTCTTTCCTTTTTTCTTTTTTTAGTATGAAAGTGAGAAATGAGAATTTTGTAGAAGAAGAAAAAATACATACCAAAGGAGAGCAGGATGCACCATAAAAAACAATTATGTTTTTTTATTTTTTGATATTCCCCCAAACTTCTCCCTGACATTTTTCCACTATTTTTGTTTTTCTTGAAATTTGACTACAGAGTATCGAGAATGCCCCTGGTTTAGAAGGGTTGCTCCCTCCAAAGGGTGGACCAAACTTTGAATTTGGAGCTCAAGATAATAGTGAACGACATGCACTTTCTGCAGAACTCAAAAACCTGGTGAAAGGAAGAGCAGCTGCCCGTGAAATCATTTTATGGATAGAAGAAAACGTCTTTCCCGTTCATGGATTTGAGGTTACCCTCAAAGTGGTTCTGCAAACTCTGCTTGATATAGGATCCAAGAGTTTCACCCATTTGATTACTGTTTTGGAGAGATATGGTCAAGTCATTGCAAAAATGAGTTCTGATCAAGATAAACAAGTAATGGTAATCGCAGAAGTAGGTTCGTACTGGAAGAACAATTTGCAAATGACAGCTATAGCAATTGACAGAATGATGGGCTACAGGCTTTTATCTAATTTATCCATAGTGAGATGGGTCTTCTCTTCAGAAAATATTGAGCAGTTCCATACTTCAGATCGTCCATGGGAGGTACAGCATCAGGATTTTTTGTGCTTGCCTTTTGTTTTTCTTTTCCCCATCTATTTCTTACTAGTCCTTTACTCCTTTATCATGTTGTTGTCCCAATTTGAGATGCATATATAACATGTCTGTACCTTTTTTCTGGTTTTTCCTAACGTTGATATTTTAATAGCTCGATGGTTGTGAGTTCAAGGGCGCTAGGTCTACAAAGTGCTTCTAACTTGTCAAAGTAGAAAGAACTTAACATGTAAAATGTTACATGTCTTGTACATTTTGCATTTTCTTTTGCCCCCCTTTTTCCTTTGTTTTTCTGGTTGAGCCTAGTGTTAATATCTTAAATAGCTTGGTGGTTGTGGGGTCCAGTAAACTGGGTCCCAAAGTGCTGCCGACATGGCAAGGTGAGAGACCTGAATTTCAATTTGTATAATCTCTCTTGGAAGTTGCCCTTGCACAGTAGGGAGAATCTATTCTTTTCTTGTTGATTTGCCTGCCCGAGTCTAATTTTTCATTTCTGAGATGATGAACTTAAAGATTATCTTTTCCAATGTTGACCTGAATTATATTTCTTTCAATCTTACCCTCCCCTATCTGTCCCTCAAAAAGAGGAAAGTGGAAAAAACATCAATTTTTCCTTTTCATGGATGTTCATATATTTAATGTGTTATAACTTACATGTATACGATTTATATATGCTAAACATGGATATTTTGTTTATGTGTATTTGTTTCTTGTTTAATTCTTTTCTTGTCTTCTCTCTCTTCTGTCTCAATGTACATGTATAGATCCTAAGAAATGCAGTTAACAAGACATACAACCGTATCTGCGATCTGAGGAAAGAGATTTCATCTCTGAAGAAGACACATGGATATTTTGTTTATGTGTATTTGTTTCTTGTTTAATTCTTTTCTTGTCTTCTCTCTCTTCTGTCTCAATGTACATGTATAGATCCTAAGAAATGCAGTTAACAAGACATACAACCGTATCTGCGATCTGAGGAAAGAGATTTCATCTCTGAAGAAGACTTTTGTATCAGCAGAAGCTGCAGCAGCAAAGGCAAAAGCAGAGTTGGATGCTGCTGAGACAAAGCTTACACTTGTGGATGGCGAACCTGTTCTTGGTGACAATCCAACGAAGTTGAAGCGTTTGAAATCATCCGCTGAAAAGGCGAAAGAGGAGGAGGTGTCCGTTCAAGAGTCTTTGGAGGCCAAGGATGCTCTTCTTGCTCGGGCTCTTGATGAAATCGAGGTATATGTGTGTCTGTTTATTCACCAGTATTTAATGACTTAGTGTGGTAGTATCTGTTTGGGTTATGGGCCTGAGCCTGGGGATGCGCATTCCCATCCAGATTTTTCTTTTCACTGATCTGGTTTTGTCTTGCTCTCCTGAGATTAAGCATATCATACCTCTTTTGCTGTTTTATTTTGTCCCTTTTTGTTCTTCTAATAATTTAAAATTCAGGACTTCTTTCTGCTTTTCTTTTTTCTTTTGTTTTTTTTTTTTTTGGCTCTATTTTCCCATGTCCTCAGTTTTTTTATCTAGGTCTTTCTTTACTACGATTAAGAGTTTTTACCATTGTTTCCCTTTTCTTCTTCTGTCTTGATTATTCTTGGCATGTTCAGGCATTGTTCCTCTCTCTGTACAAGAACTTCAGCAGTGTTCTGATGGAACGTCTGCCAGAGGCATCCAGAGTTGGAACATTGCAGGAACTGAAATCTAGTTCTGCAGATGCCATGGCTGTTGACCTTGAAGAACTTTCAACTATGGAGGTGGATGATGAGAATGGAAGGCCTAAAAGGTTTACCCCTTCACTTGGGAAATTATTTTTAAAAAAAATTTGTTGCTATCACATGTAATGGTTTTTGATGATTATGAATGAGAATGGAAGGCCTAAAAGGTTTACCCCTTCACTTGGGAAATTATTTAAAAAAAAAAATTGTTGCTATCACATGTAATGGTTTTTGATGATTATGTTGAACTGAAAGGCATGTTAATTTTGGCAGTCAATTGAATGGTAGGAAGACGGGCAGTGTATATAATATAGGTGAGAAAGAGCAGTGGTGTTTATCAACTTTGGGCTATCTCAAGGCCTTTTCGAGGCAATACGCTTCTGAGGTAAACACAGTTTTGAGGCTTCTGCCACTTATATACTCCTTCCAACTTTTGCTATCTTATATATATAAGTCCATTAACGTACACCTTCAGTAATTTCTTTCTCCATTTTACATCCTCTCACCTTCTCATCTCCTTTTTGGCTGTGCGGTTGCCTGATATTTCTGAAAGTGGCATACATAATTTACCTGTACAAGAAAAAAGTTGTTTCTGGTACTTGCATTGAATGATCCACAGCACTGAATATACGCACTCGTATAGTGTAATTAACTAGTCATGAAACAATTGCCCATGTGAAGGGTAACCAATTGTGATTTACTAAACCTGTAGAAAGAAAGAAAAAAATAATAATAATAATAATAATAATTGTGATTCTACTGAATAACAGATGAATGAAACATGTCCAAGGATGACTTATTTTTGTTATTCAGAGGCAGAATGGTAAATCACTTAAATAAATAAATAACTGTGATTTTGTGAGTTAATGGATTAACGAAACATGCCAAAGGATGGCTTACCTTTGTTATTCAGAGGCAGATTGGTGTTTGTGGGAATATTTGAATCTCCCTTTTAGCATATACTTTAAGATTTTCTATTATTTTAGAATGCAAACATGAAATTTCTTAGAAATTTACTAAATGATTTTTCTGGTGCCAAGCTTTGAGGTGTTCTAAATGTTGGTGTTTCCTCTAAAAGAAGGTTACTTTGCGATAAGAAGTACGATATTGCTTTTCAAACTCAATGTTATTCATGTAATGCACCAACATGCAGGCAGCAAATAATAGCCTGGTTATTTCCTGCAGTTCTGCAGACATGGTTTTTGTAGTTTGTGTAGTCTAATTGGCATCATGTTTTCCCTTTTCTTTTGCAGGTAGTAAATTATATCGTCTGTAATATTATTTGCTGCAAAAATTGTCTTTCTGACTTCTTTTTTCCTTTGGGAAATTGGCAGATATGGCCTCACGTTGAGAAGTTGGAAGCAGAAGTATTAACAGAAAATGTGCATCCTCTCATCCGAAAAGCAGTCTATTGTGGTCTGCGTCGCCCCATTAGCGCAGTATACGTTGGTTGATTTTGCGGCAACTTCCATCTACGGTCAAGATAATTTCCTCCCAGTCTAACAATGTAAAGGATGCTATTGGTCGGCTTAGAAGAAAATTGCGATTAGCTGTGGCTCTTACGTGACCAGTCGAGGCAATTAGTTAGTTGCAGTTTATGTGGAGAACCTTGTTGATATGTAAACCATGACAATTAATGACGATTAGCATCATGCAAAATGTGATGGGCTTACTACTTGTACTGAGCAAATTACTAAAAGCAAATTGTTTTACTCCCCTAGTTAGTGTTCTCTCTGTCTTCATCCTTCAATGTTCTTTTTATACACATATATATACACTCACTCACATATCCTTTACTACTATTCTCCATTCTGCAAGGCCTCCTCATGGTTCCCGAGAAGAGTTTACAATATGATTACAGTTTCTGTTTCAGGTTTTGCCCGGTAATCCTATCAGATATATATCCTCTTTTTTTCTTCTTCGTTTCTTTTCAGTGGCTGCTTAAAGTTCCATTCATATCTGTTTTGGCCTTTTTGAGCATGAGCAGTCCCAATTTCTCGCAAATCACTTGCAACTCATGGTGACCCAATATTATTAAGTGATGTGACCAATGTCACGTGTTGCACAAAAGTTATTTGGCACCCTTCACTTGATTTGTGAATGTAATGTCACTGTTGAAGGGAAATGTGGACGCATTTGCTTCGTAACATTGTATTGTTCCACTTTATTATTAAAAATGTTGTAAGCATCACACTGCAATCTTAACTGATTTAGGTAATGGGGTGAGTTGTCCATTAACTGGTGCAATGCACTTGAGAAGGGTGAATATTCAGTAAGAACTGACCGACGAAAATATGTTGGAAAAATTTTCGAGTGGCCAATGATTATGATCTTTCTTTTCTAGAGGACTGCGGGGGGGGACACCACTAGTGTGGGGACACGACTAGGTCTCATACCGCACGCTAACAGAAAATGGGATAAATAGAGATTTGTAAACGGGGTTCACTTTTTGTTTATTATGATGCTCTAAGTGCTCCTAATTATTTTTCAAATTTCTTTTTTTGGCGTATCTTAAAATATGCATATTTTGAGCTTAGGAACTTCTTGTTTACTGGATACAGTGAGATGCATCACTGATTCCTTATGTCACTGTCACTGATTTAAGCTTACCATAAAGGAAAAAAGAAATTCAGAGAATAAGACAATGTGCTCAACAACGGAGACCAATGAATTTATGTAGCAAGGTACTTTGTATTTTCCTTTTGGTTTGTCTGAAGAAAACATTTTGTCCTATTGCTTTTATTGTATATTCACTGTATATAGATATACATTTGAACGGAGGTTTTATTTTTTTATTTTTTTCCTATTTAGTTTTATTGATTTAAGTAGTACAATATACGGGCTTTCACAGTATTAATCAAAATCTAATGAAATACCAGCAAAAACAAAAATTTAGAAGTTGACAAGTAACGTAAGTCGTAACATGTTCAGGAAAGAGCCAAAAATGTTAATCTATAATCTATAACAATATATAGAAATGCCAATAATTTCACTGTTCATGTACAATGTTTCGACTAAAACGACATAGTTTTGATCGAAATTCACCTCTTGTGAACAGTGTTTTCATTGTTCAAACACTGATCACTTTTTTTTGCCTTTTTTTCTTTTCTTCTCTTTTTTCTTTTGCTTTTTTGCCCAGAAATTTTTTTTCATTGTACGCCTTCTTTCTAACTTTTTTCTTTCATTTACCTAAATTATTTTTTTTATAAATGTTATTGTTTTATAAATATTATTCTACTTAAATATTCTTTTCAGTGGTACCTTAAAACTTATTTATTCTTTTATTTATATTCAAATTTATTTTTTTAATGTTTATTCTTTCAAGACTTTATTTTTTCTCTTTTTGAGATTTTATATTCAAAATTTATATACTTTTAATAATAACATGATAATTAAAACTTAACACTTGAATTACTCCCTACGTACATGCCACGTAGAATTGAACTAGTTACACTAGAAACCTGAAAATTCACGTAGCGAAGGAAATATTTTTTAGTCAAAGTGGTGAGAGTAGATGACCAAAAAAAAAAAAGTTCAGGAAAGGAGTAGAAAATGAACGTTCGGATAAAGGGATATTTAACATTTTATACCCTTTATTTTGGGTTTATTACAAAATTATACATTTTTAGTTTTTAATCTTATTAAATATATAACCTTAAATTATATTTAATACACAAATACGGTCAACTCTTGATCTTAACATTTAAAATACTTAAAATACCCTTAAATAAAAAATGACAAATGAAGAAAAAACTAAAAAAATTTAAACTTACAGTTTTTACCTCAAAAATATTCAAAATACCTTAAAATGATTTTTTTATATTCTTAATATTAGAAAGTTTTATTTTTCTCTTTTTGCTTTTTCTTAAGAATAGTTTGGTCAATTCAAAAGGTCAAAATCAATTGTTGATAGAAATAAGGTATAAATTTATATATTAAATCCAATTTGAATGTATATATTTGATGAGATAAAAAATTAAAAGTATAATTTTTGAATAAATCTAAAATAGATGGTATAAAAATATAAATATCACAAAGTTAAATGGCTTCCCAAAAAAAAGAATAGTACTTTTGGGCCTTTGGTAAATGAATAGTAGCTTTTGCTACTTTCGAGATAATTAAATTAAATTCCAAATTATTTTTTTAAGAAAAGTCATAAAAATATGATAAAAATATTATTATACTATAGATTGTATTTTTTAAAATAAAAACAATGAACTTGGTTTCAATTCTACACCGCACGCCTCTGCTCCCTCCCCCATGCAAATTATATTTGCCTTAACTCATTGGTTGAGTCAGTTATAAGTACAGCAGCTGTGACTACCAGAAGTACAACAGTCCTTTCATCCATTAAATTTAATAGATAGTTTGGTATAGAGTTTGTATCGTGGTTTTTTAAATTATAATTTGTAATTTATTATAGTATTTTTTTTATAAAAAATATATATAAATTGAGAATAATTTAAAATTATGGTTCTAAATTTATGAATTAAACGTCCATTAAGAATTTAATGATGTAACTGATAATATTATTATTTTAACCGTAAAATATTAATTTGATAGTCATAATAAACTTGAAAGTTATTAAAAAATATATGACAATTAATAAAATTGTATTCTTATCACACCATATCGATCGTCAATTTTTTATATTTAATGGGTAACTACGATAGAAATTAAATGAATAAAAACTCATTCATTATCACGCCACATCAGCAAATATATATAGGAGTTTTCAATAGTTACAACTTCGTTGATGCTTACTCATCAAATATACTTATTTAATAATATGGTATAATAAAAATCATGTCATTAATTGTCATAAAATTTTTTTCTTATAAACTATCTAAGGGGTTGTTCTTTTACATTTTTCTATTAGGCATTCTTGAGTGAAAATTTTGAGTTGAGTTTAAGTTATAATTTGAGTTGAAGTTGTAACTTGAGTTTGTGTTTAATTGTATACATTTGAGTTATGGTTTGAGATAAGAATCTTTTTGAGTTTGTATTTGAATAAGTCAAAACTTGAATTTGTATTTAGATAGTATTTTAATAAAAACTCAATGGTGATGAAAAATTTTAATAGGGTATATAGGTGAGATTTTATTCGTCTTTTCGTTGTCAACGCATAGAAAAAAATCATCTTAATCAGAATTAAAATAAAAAAGTTATAGCATTTTTAAGAATAGAAAAATATTGTTCATTAATTTGAGTTTGAGTTTCTGAACTTGAGTTGAAAGGAAAACTTCCTTGTTCACTTCGTGGATTCGAGTTGAGATGTGACAATTTATGAGAGCTTTTTACTGTAGCAAAAAAAGTTAGATGTGACATTTTTTGATAGTTTTTTACTGTAAAAACCTAAAACTGAAAACTCAAATCGGTAAAATGAACGATACCTTGAACTCGAGTTTTAGTCTCAAACTCAAATTAAAACTTGAGTTCAAACTTAAAAGAACATAAACTTAAATAAAGTTATAACACTAATTTTTTTTTTTTTTTAACCCAGCCCACCAGCCTCTAATTTATTAGAGCTGAGCAATCCTTTCCTATCAGGAGACGGAGTATATGATGGAATAGTGTCCATCCATATATGATGTTGTGTTTGTTCTTTTGTCTAAAAAACTCAATAAAAGACAACTCGAGTTCTAATTTTATTTAAGTTCATGTTCTTTTAAGTTTCAACTTTATTCAATTTTATTCAAATTATTATTTTAACCGTAAAATATTAATTTGATAGTCATAATAAACTTGAAAGTTATTAAAAAATATATGACAATTAATAAAATTGTATTCTTATCACACCATATCGATCGTCAATTTTTTATATTTGATGGGTAACTACGATAGAAATTAAATGAATAAAAACTCATTCATTATCACGCCACGTCAGCAAATATATATAGGAGTTTTCAATAGTTACAACTTCGTTGATGCTTACTCATCAAATATACTTATTTAATAATATGGTATAATAAAAATCATGTCATTAATTGTCATAAAATTTTTTTCTTATAAACTATCTAAGGGGTTGTTCTTTTACATTTTTCTATTAGGCATTCTTGAGTGAAAATTTTGAGTTGAGTTTAAGTTATAATTTGAGTTGAAGTTGTAACTTGAGTTTGTGTTTAATTGTATACATTTGAGTTATGGTTTGAGATAAGAATCTTTTTGAGTTTATATTTGAATAAGTCAAAACTTGAATTTGTATTTAGATAGTATTTTAATAAAAACTCAATGGTGATGGAAAATTTTAATAGGGTATATAGGTGAGATTTTATTCGTCTTTTCGTTGTCAACGCATAAAAAAAATCATCTTAATCAGAATTAAAATAAAAAAGTTATAGCATTTTTAAGAATAGAAAAATACTGTTCATTAATTTGAGTTTGAGTTTCTGAACTTGAGTTGAAAGGAAAACTTCCTCGTTCACTTCGTGGATTCGAGTTGAGATGTGACAATTTATGAGAGCTTTTTACTGTAGCAAAAAAAGTTAGATGTGACATTTTTTAATAGTTTTTTACTGTAAAAACCTAAAACTGAAAACTCAAATCGGTAAAATGAACGATACCTTGAACTCGAGTTTTAGTCTCAAACTCAAATTAAAACTTGAGTTCAAACTTAAAAGAACATAAACTTAAATAAAGTTATAACCCTAATTTTTTTTTTTTTTTAACCCAGCCCAACAGCCTCTAATTTATTAGAGCTGAGCAATCCTTTCCTATCAGGAGACGGAGTATATGATGGAATAGTGTCCATCCATATATGATGTTGTGTTTGTTCTTTTGTCTAAAA